GAGAGAGTGTGTGTGTGGGGTGTTACCGCGCGTGCCGCCCCCGCAGCGTAACAGCGTGTGAAGCGCACGCAACCCGTCGATTGAAGATCTAAAAACACTTCACGGCCAGGCTGGCCCGGGCCCGGTGAGAAACGGGGAAGGAAAACAAAGTCCACGTGAGCGCGATACCAGATCGAGAAGGGGTGCGCACGACCAGACGGGCCCGTTTCGTCCCCCCCCCCAACCCCCTCGCGGGGCGCGCCCTGCCGCGGCCACGGCCGCGAGTCGAGCCCCTGCGAATGGGTTGGTGAACGAACCCAACATTTCCATTCAGCTGCTGCCGGCTGCCGCAGCTCGCCAAGCCCGCGGCTCTGCGAGCCCAGCCCACCGGCTGGCGGCGGCAAACGACACGTTGCCCGCTCCGACGCATTTCCTTTTCGCTTACCTCTGCAAATGCGAGTCGACCAACCACCCGGTCCAACCCCCCGGTTGTGTTGTGGGCGTTGTTGCGTGTGCCAACCTCGGGCCTCGATTTTCTTGCGACCTGAAATAGTTGGAGTGCATTAGTTCGTATCACGTGAGGTGCCCATCCCCCCGCCCGCACGGCCCGTGGCCGAGACCCTACAAACGACGGCGAATGGCACACACAAATGACGGCTGCACCTCATAATGAATAACCTCAAACTTGGGCGGCGATACGAGAGCGACAGCCTTGGAGACAGTCCGCCCACCAACTCTCCACAAGTTGGGTGCGATAGCGTCTTACCTCTGATCCGGCGCGGCGAAAAGAAAACTCGTTTCTTCTTTTTTTTCGCGTTTGTAACGACGTCGGATAGTGTCTCAAGTAGATTCGGCGCGGGACATCACATCCGAGGGAACTTTTTCTTCTTTAACGCGCTGCGTGGCCCAGGCATGCCACAACCCCGCCATCTCGGACACGTGCGAAATCATCTCTTTCTCCGTCTCTCCGATGGGTGAGTCTATGCTTCAATATGGGCGTTTGCGACGGAGACAGAGTTGTCCCGGTTATCTGGATGTTCGCCTGAGCCTGACCGCAAAGTGCTTGTCATTACTTAACCAAGCCTAGCGTTTGAAAAACATAAATAGTCAGTAAATGGCTTTATTTTCAATCGGTTTATTTTTGCGGGTGTAACTCACGTGACAATATCTCTTAAACATCCTAGGTATGCATGTCCACGGGGGTAGTCCAGTCTCTCGTTCGCCTCACTTGCTGAGTGACCGCCGGGTGCGTAGGCAACCAACCGGTCACCTCCAACTTGCCAAGCGCCTGACGCGTAGGCCACCCATCCGGCGCCAACCAACACCTTTTTTTATGTCTCTACTGTAATGGAAGAGGGGGGCCGCCAAGCTACACAATTGTCGAGTAATTAAAATAGTTTTATTATGGCGGTGTAGAAGGAAATTACACAAATTAAACACGTGCTTAGTGGAAGAGCAAATGAAATCAGCTCAAGCCAATATATACCAATAAGAGTTTAAGACAATTTACATCCAAAATTGTAAACATGGAGGTACAGTACAATAATGTGATAACATAATCAGATAATTATCAAGAGAACTCCTCCACACATATTCTATCCAAGATAACAGAGAGCGTCAAAACTTTAGATAAGGAACTATTGCTTTCTGGCATCCAGCTGTTAAACGAACCTAAAAATGTTATTATGAAATACTCTCAATTCTGTTATTATCATAAAATCGTACAAGATAAAACGCCTCCTGCTGATATGGTACAATCACAATTAATGAACAGGTACAAGGACAAGAGATGTCAAATACATATAGAAATGAGATGCTTAAAAATAATTCTGTATCTATACAATTCCTCCCACCTAAGGTTCATAACTTCGTGACTTCTTAGGTAAGATCCTCAAAAACTTATGTTTTAACTAGCAGTGTGGACAAAATTAGACTAAACCGGGAAGAGAGGAGAAAAATCTCAACTTTTTCTTATCTTAGCTTATACCAGATGCAAATGAGGAGACATGAAAAAAAATCCAACTACACTACAGACAATGATACAATTATAGCATTCAATGAAACACACACAACCAAAACAACAGCTTGAAACACAAACAAAGAGATAAGTCGAGACTGCCAATCAGTCAACACAAAAGAAAATGGAGGAAAAACTAAACACTTAGCTTAATTCACAAAATAAACATACAATACTTGAAGGTCACATAATGTTATTGACCACAAAAGTCCTAAAATTTTAAACCAAGCTATACATTACAGTCAGTGTAATATTATTTTGAAATAACAGGAAATGAGCACACAAACGCATAGAACTACTTCAATAGTGTAATCAGTTATTATAATTGTTTAAAGCTTAACCCGCCCAAAAAGAGAAAAAGAAAAAAACATATTCATGATAGAATAACCCTTTCACTAAATAAAATAGTTCACAGCCATATAAAATTAAAATTACATTAACAAAGATATACATAATAAGATGTACATAGAAACGCAAACAAGAAAACTGCAACTACAAGACTAGATGCAGCTCAAGAGCTGGTATTAACCTTTCTAGTTGACCAAATACATATATTGTATTGTAAATCAATGACCATTTTAAGCTGTTAGTATTCTTGTGAACTCAGTTAAATTGCTCCGAAGCAGCAAAGCAAGATCATATTAGTAAGTAATGCTTTCAAACAAGACTAAAATATTATGTCACTCTGGACAAAATAAAACATGTTTTGTATCATAAACAATTGTTATGCCGTGGTTTGAATGACGACTTCAAGAAATTACAAATTGTATGAAATTACATACATCTATGTTACACAACTATGTACTGAAATTGGCAGCACATTTGTATAAACGATTTTTAACGAGCCAGTGTCATGCTGGCAGATGGTTACTCATGATTACTCGACCAGAATTTCACCCTGCATTAGTTGGTAGGTAGGGAAAAACTTGTGTTATTTCCCCAATTCCCTTTGTGCAACCTTCCCTGAATAGGAGTCGCATGCCAACCTTCACATACTCAGGGTGACGCGTGAACCGAAATACAACAGAGGCATGCTCATTTGTATGAATACCGTTAGTAGCCATTATACCTTCCATGACTGCAGTCTGACGTATGTTGCCAATATGGACGGTAGTTTGAAAACCAGGCTTGATGGCAGTAGAGTGAAAGAGAACAGACACAGTTGCCTAGATAGATAAAGAGAAATCTATGTTCATAACAGTGGCAATTTTATGTCAGTTCAGAGCACTTTTAAAATAAAACCAGTTTACCTGAAAGAATAGGCATCCAGAGGGTTTCTCCTTGTCCTCCATACTTAGCAAAACCATTCCAGTTCTGAGACCTGGAATATCCACAGATAGGGATAAAGATGCACTTTGGCTTGCTCTCACAACCCTACATGGAGCCTTGTTACGGTGGATTGATTGAACAAGCACAGGTCTGAAGCTTCCATCATTGAATGGTCCTAATTACATTTCAAAAGTTAGAAACAAATTTTAATTTTGACAATAAAACTTATTTATTTATATGAAACTCAAGCTCACCTATTTGAAGCTTTGTTCTTTCAGTAATAACTCCTTTTGTAAGGAGTCCCCCAATGACAGTTCCCACCTCAGGCACACGGAAAGTTTCATCAATTTGAAATTCACAAGGTTCCTAAAACATATTGCAACATTTTAATGTAGCATTTATCAAAACATACATTTGACAAGATACAAATTCAACTTTCATAAAACTAGGGGTTTACCTGTTCAAGCCTGTCTTTTTCCTTTATTGATACACCAGGAGGGAGTACATGTAGAAAACGAGTCAATAGTTCAAGTCCATTCCCAGAAACACTTGAAACACAGAATATAGGAACAATATTTTCAGCCATTGAATTTGAGCCCGCCGTTATAACATCATCTTCATTCTGTACTATTAATGGCACCTGCAAACAGAATAGATTAAAAATTACAATGAATGAAAAGTAACAGATGAAATGGATGGCAAAATTAGTCCATACCTTTTTACACTCTGATTTTAAAACAGTTTCAAGGCTGCTAATTGCATTGTTGGGTGCAACAAGATCTGTTTTAGTAATTACCACAAAAAATGGTACATCTAAAGCCACAGCTAGAGCAAGATGTTCTCTTGTCATCCCTACTATTCCCGCACTCCCACTAACTACCAGCATGGCATGATGGGGAGAATATCCTGTAAGTCCTTGAACAGTAGTGCGGAGATACTTCCGACGTCCAGCAAGATCAATGAATGTAATAAGCTTAGTGGAGTTTTCACAAATTTCTTCAGCAGTAGTCATTTCACTATAATTTACAACCTGTGCTTGGGCATCAAATCCCAGAATTTCATGACTAATTGATGATGTTCTTCCAGAGCGCACTTCATGTACATGTCGAAACATATTCAGTCTTGCTCTACCTCGACCATTGTCAAGCTGTCCTTGAGTCAGGACACCAAGTAATGTTGATTTTCCAGCATCTGCACTTCCCATCACAGCCACTCGAACTTCAATATTATGCTGGTCATCTGGAATCTACAAATAAACATTAAAGTAGCGTTAAGATAAACCAATAAATGAAAAGATTTAAACAACACTTGCTCACAATACTTACTTTTCTCACCAAAACTTCAACTACTTTTCTTTGGTCATTTGTGGTGTTTCCATTCAGACTATCAATACTATTACTTCCGTCACTATCAGAATCATCAAGCCATCTTTCTCGTAAAATGGTTGTGGTTGCTCCCAGAGAGAGTGCCATTTGTTTAAGAGTTTGCAGACTATCTGTCATTTCGGAGGGAGAAAGGCCAGCAAGAACACCATTGTCCTCTACACCTATCTCATATATTGCTTCACCTTGGCCCTCACGCAACCTCCACTTTAGCTATAAGTATTTTTTTTTAATTAGGGCAAAGTTTTAATACTATAGGCTGTACTAGTTTGTAAAAGGATGTTTTACCTGAGTGACTAGATGCTCAAACCTCTGTTTAGAGGGATTGACAAGCTTCAATTTATATTCTACATTGCCCAATTGAGGCTCTGGGGGCAACTGTGAGAATCCCTTTGAGTTGTCATCACTGCCAACCCAATCGTCACTTGGACCAAAGAGCCCGAGGAAAGAATCCATGATCCTGCAACAGAGAATCAGAAACCACACATAGGGGTCAATTTTACAAGTTCTTTTTCAAATTTTTGATTTTCCTGGGGGGAATTTGATTTATTGGGAAAAGAAAAGGGGGTGGGGGGGAGCACTCTTTACTAAAATACTAAAAGGACAAAAATTTACTGTTGACAAAGACATGATGGACTCTGAGATCCTCACTCAGTGCAAAACATCAGCACTTCTAAGATAAAAAGGGAAATGGAATAAAAAAGTTTGCAGCATGTTATCTATTGTTTAGTTTTTTTTTTAATGTTCCCCTAGTAACATGGGTGAGAGGGTTGAATTATGGCTCATAAAACCCTAACTAAGAATATGGTTGAAGATACCTGATTCTAGTGCAGACATTGCAGAAGTGTATTTTTATTTTTAAGTCAGCCTCATTCAAAGCATTTGAGTGAGCATTATTTCCTACACTTGCTTGGCTATCTGCTATCAAGATCCAGATTGCTATACTAATCCCTTAGTAACTGAGGGGTTGAAATACACTAAAAATATGTGGCTCAAAGTGCACCATTATCAAGGTCAAATACAATATCTCCTTTAAAAGAGTACAACTACAAAAATTGTATCAAATTTCACCAGAATATATGTTTTAATAGTTTATTTTCGAAAATTCAAACCGTTATGAAAAAGACAGCATTACGTAGCATGTCATTTCTGGGGTCTGAAGGTAAACGCATCACATCCAATTTGGCGAATTTTTACGAACGTTAAAAACATTCTCAAAACATTATAAAAAACAAAACTGTCTAAACAAACTCCATGACTTTCCAAGCACCTTGTTGATTTCTTCTTTGCCAATTGGCAAAGTACCAGCTGGTCCCAGTCTTCTGGGAGATATAATTTCGAAAGCCAGCTTCTAAGATTAGATGGTCTCTTAGCAACCACTAGGGTGTACCAGCACAGCTGTCAAATATGTAAACAAGACGCACAGAAATGTTTAGTTTGGTTGTTTGAGTCCAGACATCAGTTTTCAAGTTTTGATATAAGGTGGTGAAACAAATTTTTATTAACATGTTATTTTTATTATTTCAAAGTGCTAGAGATGCAATAGAATTCAGAAAGGGTTGTCTTAATAACAATAGATAACTAAGAGCACCTATAGCATATGGACAGAAATTATGAAATAACTGGCTCAAGGATAAAGCACCCCAGATACATACACATAAAGCGATGCAACAGGATTTTTACTTCTGTCATAGAGAGATATGATCTTTATTCACAAATATTGACAAGACAGGTTTGACGTTTTCTTACTGTCCTAGTAACAACTGAATCGTAAAGAATCTTGAGCTATATTTATTTACTTGTTTGAAGCAGCCACAAAAATAGTAGGACATATCAACAATTTTGCCAAATCAAACACATTGAACCTAATCTAACAACAACTAAATGACTACTGCAACATCTTGTCGACCCCCACACGCACAAAAATTAATTCTGATTTCCTAAATTTAGTTTGCTATGGTTCGCATATTGTTTATTGTTGTCATTGTTCCCCCGAGTCCCGAGTGACGCAACCCAAACCCAACGTCAATATTGTTTTCGCCACGATAGTGACCAGTGATTATCCGAACTAACTTTGACGAACGGTACTCACAACTTTTCTTTATCTGGTGGCCAACCAAAATTGTACGGTTTTGATCACTTATGACCGACCCATAGTACTGAAGGCGAATTTTGGCGTCCGTTCGGACGGTACAAAA